GGGAAAATTATGAATTCCTAAGGTTGAGACAAAGGCAAAGTCAGTCCGCTGGTCCGGTATTCTTCAATCTTACCTAGATCTAGATCTAGAGATCTAGATTTTAGCCTGCACTGACACGATTGCGTGTGTGACACAGTGGTGTACGGAGTCAGTCACTATAATAAGATCAAATAGCATTTTCACACGGAAATTTACTAGATTCCTATGTGGAAAGGAAAGTACCTGAAATTCAAGACCGTAAATAACAGGAGCCTCGTCTTCCATGACTGCACACTTCACACACAAACACCGTGCAGATTACACACTCAGCCGGACTTCCTTTTCTGCCTTCTGTAGTCTGTTAGGTTAGGCCTACTTTCGTTTTCTAGTTTTCTACAAACGACCTATTTCAGTAGGCCCTACGTCGTAATTGCCTAAAAAGTTGAAAGGAGGGACAGAACTAGATTAATTGAATACATGAAGTAAATATATATGATTTGATACAATAAGTTAATCTAATGTACTCAAAGAAGAGTTTCACCTTATTAAAAAACGTGTTTACCCTAAGTACATATACTTGTAACTAAAACAAATAGATATACATCTAGTTGTCGCAAAATTTTTCTTTACGGAACTTGGTCCATCTTTGGTAGTTTGGTATTGCATGTAAACATTGAAACATGTGTTTCTGAAGCAAGGAATGAAAATTGGCTTTTTAAATTAATTTTTACCCTTTTAAATTGAGTGCTGCTGTTCAAAAACGTGGAGTTAGAGATATTTTCCTTAAGGTGTTAGGTGAGAAGTGGTTATTACTAATAGTAAACGTGTATTTGCCAAATTACAGAAAGAAATTCCACATAATCGTCCTTTCACTTTCTTTAACTTTAACTCTGCTGAGGCTGAGAACTATACACTAATATCTGGATCATCTATATCTAGATCTAGATCTAGATCTAACTTCTAAGATCTATACTATCAACACTTACACTAATATCTTGATCTAGATCTAGAAATCTAGTTTTCTACTATCACGACTATCACTAGATCTATATTAGAGTCTATTCTTTTCTATGAACTCTATCACATCCTATGCCTATACACGTATCAATTTCATTTGCCTCGCCCATTTATTTTTCACTTCTCCCAGCATTCAGTGGGCTAACAGTTTATCGGTCTATAATGTTAATGGCCACCTTTATTCTTACCCCGGGTGAGAATAACCCATGTCTCAATATTCTC